CGGTGTTGCCCCCGTGCCTCGCTCAGCCAGTGAGCGGGAACCGGTCCGCAGGTGGGATCCGAATCCGTGGGTGGGAGCGCCGCCGCGCTTCCCAAGCGGCGCACTATCCAGTGCACCACTGGGCCGGCCCGCATTGCTAAGTTTTCTGACCACAGTGGGACACTGGTCATGGATGCACAGGAGCCTGAGATATCCGGGCTCCATGACAGTCTTGCCACAGAAAGAAAAATAAAATAGCCCATTCTAAAAGCAGCCCTTTTTCTGCTGAATCATGCTGAGTTATCAGGTGGGGGAGGGAAGAAACAGAGAACTTAAAATGGGTAAAGTTCACAAACGTTAAAATGTCCCCGTTTTGTCCTGAAATTTTAGTCCATTCTGGGTAAGCAGGATTTGCTAGCACAGATGTGAGAAGCTGCAGCTCTGATATCTAGCTGCAGCCTCCTTGGTCTGCTAGCACAGACGTGAGAAGCTGCAGCTCTGATATCTAGCTGCAGCCTCCTTGGTCTGCTAATTGCATTATTTTGATTTGCTTTTCCGGGAAAGCATTTTTGCTAAAAGCTGTAGTGACTCTTTTCTTTCTACCTAGCAGTACTTTATATAGGATAGCTTTGTGCCACGTAGCATTTGAAGACTCGGTTTTATTAACCTGTTGCTGACTTTATGTGAATTCCCGTTTCAACAGCTGTTTCCCTGAAGAGTTCAGGATGCGACTTCTGTGTATGATGGCTTTCCTTCACACGCCATTTTTGTGGCTGTGTATATCTGACTTGGGGAGGATTAAAAAAAACAAATCCACAGCTTTCTAACTTGTTTGAAACAGACCTTCTGCCTGTTACATTTTGCACTCTTAACCAGTTAAAGAAGAAATGGCATTTTTAGTTTTACGTTGCCTGTTTCCCACTAGTATATCCGTGCTGATTTGTTTGTTCCCTTTATTAACCACCATTTTCTAAAAATTTTTTTCAATAAAAGGAAAGATGTTAAAAAAAAACCCAAAAAAGTAGAGCACCCAATTCAAGAAACATAATGCTTACTGCTATGTGAAGATATTTTCATCAAGAACCAGAACACAAAAAAATAAAAACACTTATTTGGACAGGGTGGTAAAATTATGTGAAAAAAAATTCTTTAAGGGTCAAGAAGGAAATTTTAACACCGAATATTTAATGATGATATTAAAAATATTAACTTTTTAGATATGATGAAACTGTCATTATGATTTTAAGGGACTTCTAATCTGTAGTGATGTAGGTAGAATTATTTACTGATGAGCTGATATGATGTCTGTGTTTCCTTTAAACTAATCTAGAGGGTGGGTACAGCAGTAGGTAGGAGCATCATGAAGTAAGAGCAGCAGTGAGCTGACCACTGTCGAGGGCAGGAGGTGGGTCCATGTCCCACGAGCTGACCACTGTCGAGGGCAGGAGGTGGGTCCATGTCCCACGAGCTGACCACTGTCGAGGGCAGGAGGTGGGTCCATGTCCCACGAGCTGACCACTGTCGAGGGCAGGAGGTGGGTCCATGTCCCACGAGCTGACCACTGTCGAGGGCAGGAGGTGGGTCCATGTCCCACGAGCTGACCACTGTCGAGGGCAGGAGGTGGGTCCATGTCCCACGAGCTGACCACTGTCGAGGGCAGGAGGTGGGTCCATGTCCCACGAGCTGACCACTGTCGAGGGCAGGAGGTGGGTCCACGTCCCACGAGCTGACCACTGTCAAAGCCGGGAGGCGTCTCCAGTCCCACATCCCTCCCTCAGGGGACAGGAGAGAGTCACCACATGCCTCTGCATGCTCCACTGCCAGTGCAGGACTTTGCATAGCCCCTCAATAACCAAGACCTGCATTTACAACTCTGGACGTGCGCCTGGCTTTGTTACATATTCTCTCTACCCTTGCGTATGCTTGACTTTTCAAGAATGAAGAGTTCAGAAAAATTGTGAATTATATAATAAATAACATTCAGATACAAAATTGAGATATAATTGCAGTAGAAAACTCGAGTAAGCTAAGAAACTTGTTGATCAGGAATTGTCCTCAACCTGCTGCTCCTTTGTGTGTGAATACATCAGAGACAGTAATTGTGGTAGTGCGTGAAATATGACTGTGGACGTGGTAAGTGTTTGCAACACTCATGCTGAAAGACAGCCATCGAAGCAAGCCAATTTTATTTTTATTTACATTTTTATTTTATATGTTTATTTTTATATATTTCATATTTATATAGAATACATTATATATTTATATATATATAGAGAGAGATTTTTTTCCCACTGAATCATTAAAAGTTTACTATGCTATTCTATTCAATAAAAGTGTGTGAGAGAGATTTTTTTCCCACTGAATCATTAAAAGTTTACTATGCTATTCTATTCAATAAAAGTGTGCTAGATGGTCATTCATTTCCTGAATATTTAGCTTCTTCCCTGTAAAACTTTTTTGTTAATTTTTGGAATAATTTATTACTTTAAAAATCTTTAATTTTATTTTTCATTGATAAGTAATAATTGTATATATTTAGGGTAGAGTTCTAGAAACTGAGATAGGAAAATATGAAAAGAAGGCAACTGAGAAGAGTGAAAAAGGCAAAAGTAATGAGTGACTTGTACAGTACCATATGGCTTTCAAGGGACTCCAGGGCCCTTTGCTTCTGTGGTCCCTCCCTACAGGGCAGACAGAGGTGGCATCACTAGTCTATTTTTAAAGAGCAGAAAATACAACTTAAAGTGGTAAATGACTTGCCCAATATCACAAAACCATATCAGAACTTAGAACTTAGAAACCAGGTTATCTGATTTTAAGCTGTGTTCTTAAAAAGAAAAGTATTTAAATTAGGTTTTTATTGTAAGAGTTATAGATGTACCTGGTAAAAGAAAAGCAATAAAAGTGTATAAAGTGAAAATCAATTAAGAAACAAAACAGAAGCTCCCCTCCCACCCCACTCCCAGTCTGTACTGTGGAGGCTCTTCATCATCCTCAGCGAAACTTCCTAAGCACACGCAGGCCTATGATGGTGTGTGTGCACGTGGCCGGAACTCTCTCTGTGCAGGCCCTTCTGCAAACACAGCAGGGACTGAGCCAGACACACTGGTCTGCACCTTGCTTCCTTCTCTAGTCTATGGTAGAGGTCTTTCCATGTCTCAGTACACACAGACCCACTTCACTCTTTTTAACTGCTGCATAGTACTCCACTGTCTCACTATACCACATTCAACTTCACCGTGTTCCTACCGAGGGCCACCAAACTGTTCCCAGGTTTCTGCTAATACAAACAGTGATGCAAAGACCATCCCTGTACACACATCTTCATTCGTGTGCTTTAGTATACCGTCAGCACGGGCCCTCAGAACTTCTGGAAGTAGCATTGCTAGACCAAAGGGCATGTCCATCAAGTAATTTTGACAGGTAATGCCAGATTTCCCTCTCAAGAGATTGTATCGCCTTTACCCCACCCAGTGGGAAGATCTGTGTGCCTTGTACTGCACCATGGAGATGTCCCTGAGGCCTTCCCGGCCAGTGACCCGTCTATGCCTTCTCGAGCTGCCCCTTCCAGTGCGCCCAGAGTGTTTTTCTCTTGGTCTACATGGGCTGCCCAAGCAGCTCCCCTGGTCTTGCCCTCTCACTGTGGGTTTGGGGGGAAACCACATTTCATCTCCGGAAACTCCTCTAGCCTATAGGGGTTTTCTCTACTGCCTATGAAAAACGAGTCCAAGTTCTCCAGCATGAGCCTTCTGGGGAGGGCTGATAACCATGGTGTTGACAGCACAGTAAGCTGCCACCACTCACACTTCACATGGAGGGACAGGTCCCTGCCTTTGAGGATGAATGCAGAGAGGCAGGGCCAGGACGGGACGGGCAGGGACTGTGGCTATCTATACACGGCACCACTGCGAACACATACAAGCACCGTAGAGACATTCATGTGGGGCATGCAAGTTTTCCTCCACGTTATGGCAAAAAAATTCAAACTTAAAGGGAAAGCAGTGGAAAACATTCCTTGAAATAAACCACGAAAGGGTGGCAAAAACCACAAGGAAGCCCAGTGCCACCTGGACAGGTGGTCTTCAAACAGTTGCCCAAGCCCGCAGGGCTGACTGACAGGAGGACACACTGCCCCATAAAAGGAACTCTCTGCAAATCCCTTCTCAAGCAAACAGAAAATGCCAGTGTGTTAGTGGGAACCTCAGACGTGTTAGTGTCCGCAGGGTCCCCAGCAAGACAGCTCTACAGGGAGAAGAGAGGATTTCCCTGACCCTTTTCATTGAAGGGCGTGTGCCAGGCGAGGAGGTAGTTATCCGGCTTCAGCTGTGAGCAGCCTTCAATAGTAGCTGGGTCTGGCCGACGTTCTGGAAGCTTCTCGACGATTTCCACGTAGCACCTCACCATCTCCCGGTACAGATCATCCAGGCACCAGTAGTCTGGGGAGGGAAGGAAGGGGTCAGACATCGGAGGAGCCAGAGAGAGAGCCATGCCTGCCTCCTGGTCAGGGTTGGGCAGGCTCAAGACCCCAAGGCAGCAGTGACAACAGATGTTCCCGCCAATGGAAGAGGCAAGCAAGCGTGTCCAGGGAAGTGGAGACAGAATTTGGTGACCCATCTCCCACATCTGGGCTACCTCGAGAAATTCAACATGTCGACAAATAATTCACTTTCGATTTATCCTGATTTCAGACATTGCAGTTTGCTGTTATGCTTATTAGTCTAGTTGCACCTGAGAATCTAGGAAAAACCCAAGATCCTCACTTGCTCCTAAAGGTTCTATCCATGTGAGAACAGACCGCACCAACACCGGCTGTTCCCTGGGCTCACGCAGCAGACACGTGGCAGGTGGGTCCTCCTGCCACTCCCTTCCTGGAGACCCGGGTGGCACGGCCAGCCCCTGCCCAAGGGCAGCCCTGCACCATGAAGGGAGTTCTGGGAACAAGTGTGGGCTCCAGTCCCCGAAGACCACGGGGAGGGCAGGAGGAGGCAGCACCCACCAGACGCCTGCCCCTGGCTGGTTGGAGCCCCAGGTCTTCTGCACCCCAGCTGACCAAATACGACCCTCCCTGTGGCAATATCAGGCTATTATTTGTCATTTTTTTCCAGATAAAACTCAGTGAAGTTATGTGCCTCACCCAAGGCCAGAGTTGGTAATTGCACAGCCTAAGCGTTTTTGCCATTAAGTTAACCCGCAGCATGGTGGACAAGCTCACACATCCTCCAACTGGAGAGCAAGGCGCTGGTCCTGTCAGCGAGCACGCTGTGACGGGTGGTGGCGCCACACCAGGTGAGGGCACCTCCCGATGTCCTCTTCTGCAGCCACCAACACATTTTATTCTGTGCTAAAACTGCTTTCAGGACATTAGGTCGACATCGGGAGCCAGCCACTGCCCTCTCCTCCTTGGTGATGGGTTCCCATCTCTGCAGGGGGTGGGGGCGCTAATGGCTGCAGGGGCAAGGGGAACAATGAGGCACGTGGCCGCCCACCACTGAGGACAGCAGGCGCTGGAAACCTGAGAGCCTCTCAGTGGCCTAACCACAGCCTTCCTCAGGCCCTGTCAGAGCCAGGTGACCTACTGGGTGGGGGGGATGGAGCTTGCAAGAGATTAGGACGAAATTGCTCCCTCCTCCTGGACACAAAGCCTTGGGCCCCAGTGCCGTCCTGCAGAGACCTCTTGGACAGCGAGGGGGTGTCCTGGGAGGCCGGGTCCTACAGGTCTTTGTCTACAATGGACACTTTGTGCCTCGCCCCTGTTCTGAGTCGGGGACGAGAGAGGATGTGGCAAGGCCTGGCTTGGGAGGACTGAGTTCTGCAGGCCACACAGGAGGGGTGCAGTGGTGACCCTGCCCATGGAACCTCTGGCTGGCAAGGGTGAGCTGGGTGGGCCTGTCCAGGCCACCTGTGGGCTGAGGCGTCTGTGGTGTTGTGGCTCTCAGCCACCAGCACGACTGGTTTATAGTCGGCCTTTCCTATCTCAATCCTGGCAGTCGGGGACGAGAGAGGATGTGGCAAGGCCTGGCTTGGGAGGACTGAGTTCTGCAGGCCACACAGGAGGGGTGCAGGTCCCTGCCCACGGAACCTCTGGCTGGCAAGGGTGAGCTGGGTGGGCCTGTCCAGGCCACCTGTGGGCTGAGGCGTCTGTGGCGTTGTGGCTCTCAGCCACCAGCACGACTGGTTTATAGTCGGCCTTTCCTATCTCAATCCTGGGTTAATGAGCCTGACCCTTCCGGACTCCCCTGAAATAATTCCTTTCATTCTGGAATCAGATACCATGAAATGTCTGCATGTAACTGAAATTTAGCCTTTTTAAAGCAAAACAAGTCCATAAAAGCAAAATGGCATAGAAAGCTTGGTCTTTTCAGGTTGGAATTTAAGGTAGAGACAGATTTTCACTTTATGATGTGACCACTGGACTCATTTCTTCTCTACCTCACCCACCTGGTCTCCTAAAAGATACTGTGGACTGCGGGGAAGTCTCCCGGCTAATGTCACGAGAGAGACAAGGCAGAATACCAACATCAAGTTACCTCGTAGTAAAACGTCAACCATGTCCAAACGTGTACCGCCCAAAGCCAGAGCTCTGCAGGGCCCCTCCGCCCACGCAGCAGCGGTGACATTGAGACTCTCAGAAGCACAGGATGTTCAGACACGACATTGGCTACACTGACGTGAGCTGTCTTCCCCCGCTAGGTTCTCAAGTGCCAACTCGTGCTCTACTTACGTCCTTCTGCTCAATCCTCAGGCAACCCCCGTAGGAGGTACGGCCAGAGGGGGAGCAGCTCCACCCGCTTTCTCAGTGGTAAGAGGTGGGGAGCTGGGCACACCAGGCTGCAGAGCCTGAGCATGAGCACCGGTTCTCAGAGGACCAGCCTCCCCGCAGCAGACCTGGCACCAAGTGTGCATTTGCTGGAGGCCGTCGAGTGACTCACTGGCAGTGTGCTGGCAGTGGGGCCCCCTGCTCACAGCTCCATTCACTGCACTGCTTACGCATCTTGCAGGACTGGATATGGCTGTTTCCCGGTTCAATACGTGTGCTCCTGCCCTTTTCAGGGACACACCGCGGACAGGATGCCCCCTGGGAGCTCACTCGACAGCAGAACCAGGGGGTTGCCAGACCACACAGCCATGTCATCTGTGGGGTGAGGGACTCATGAGGGAAACTTGCTTAAACACACAAAGATGTAGCGCCACTTTGCAGAAGTCTGCCTGTCTGTGGAAAACATGTTAAAGAGCCACCACACGCTGTGATCATCAAAATATCTGCACGGCCTACGCGACCTTAGGAAGTCAGGGAGAATGTGTAAGAACACAGGCCTGGGGACGTCGAGTTGTCCTCATTCGGCTGTGTAGCTCTGGGCAAGTTACTTAACCTTTCTGTGTGTCAGTCCCTTCATCTGTAAAAGTGCAGTAAAAATGCTGACCTCAGGCTGACGTGAGGACACACAAATGCGGGACACAGACCTAAAGACAGTGTCCAGCACCAAGTGCCAAGGGGGTTACCTCCCACCACTGCTAACGTGGCTCGGAGACCCCTTCCGTAGGCTACGATCTGTTATTTAAAGAAAAATTGGGGCCATCTGAAAACCAAACAAAGCTTGCTTTAGTTTCAGATGATCCTGACGAGCATGTTCTCTCAGCCCACAAGCCACAGGCCAGGATTGGCACAGCTGTCGCTCAGGCTGCCTTCCACATCTGGTGACTGTGACCACCCAGAGGGAATTCATTTTTCTCCTTAAAAACAGTGCCCCCCAAATGTCCAAATCCTCTCAAATGCACACATTTTGCCACAGGGGCAGATGTCCTGCTGGTCTAAGAGAACATGAATTGCCCCACTTGGGCCAGATGCTCTCTGGGGGCCACCACCGAGCCAGACACGAGGCCATGGGCTCTCATTCACAGTGCTCGCTGGAGCACTGCCAGCGACAACGACACGCACAAGGGACGTATGGACGTGTGCACTGCATACACACATTCTCAGACACGCAGGAAGCAGTTACGAGTAGGCGCCAGCTGTGAGCAGCTGAAACCAACCATGGTTTTGTTTCCAAAGCCACGCTCTCCAGCAGGGTTTCTGCTTGGGACTGCACTACTGCTTCAGGGTGCTAGAACACTATTTTAGTACTGTTGATCATAAAGGCACCAGTCGGCCTGAAAATACCAGAAACGGACTAGTTGGATTTCGTAATTATGTAGACTCTGAAGATGCTTCGCCATTCTCAATGCGCCAGGACACCTTATCTCACTGCTGGTGCTTTGGCTCTCTCCCTGGTTATTTAGGGACCGACCGCAACATCGATGGCATTCCTGTACGGTGACCACAGAACTAAATCAAGCACATTCACAGCAGATGAAAGGAATGAGGTGAACACACAAATGAAGTCTCACCGTCGTAACAGCTGTCTCAGCCTTTAATTTTGCAATGATCTACTAATATTACCCACAGGGTTGAAAGAACAAACGGCCTGTAGGAAAGCTGTGCTCCTTCTTTGAAATTCATGTAAAAACTTGATCCTAAAATCAATTTGCTGCTTAAAGAATATTTTTAAAAGCTTTGTTTCTCCCCCAAATCCACCTTATAGCATTTCCTCAGAACACATTTATGTATCAATAACTATCCAAGCTGAATCATTTTGGTAGATGATATTTTAACCTGAACTCACTGGAATTTAGAAGTAATCCCCAAACAATAATATTTTAATGGGTCCAAATTTCAAACTGGCTTATTTATGTTCTTCTTGCAATAAATCCAGAACAAGAAGGCTAGTCTCTGCAGTGAGAAGTTGAGTCCCCCTCTGCTCCCATCAGAAGAGCTCCACAGCAAGAGGCTGACTTGTTTCAGCTGTTGGACAGGGTGCCAGGCTTACTTTACAAGTTCAAGTGAGAGTCGCTGTTTAAAAACCGCATCTTAACTATCTGCAAAGTAAAGTCATGCTATCACCCAAAGAAACAGACGCTACATGAGAAATGTGATCTGCTCGTGGGACATGGGGGTATATTAAATAGCCACTTTTAGCAGTGGCATCGGGTGACATTGTCAGCCTACAGACCGCACTGCCCTCAGAGTTCTGGGGGCTCCTGCAGGAGCCTGCACCGTCACAGACAGTGCTTCACCCCGGGACACTGGAGCGCAGCAGCGGGCCTACCTGAGGTGAGGGCCTCCGCTGTCACCATGTGCATGATGGTGTTGTCACTCACAGGCCACTTTTCTGGGGAGAGCACGAGGTGGTCCAGCCCCCCGACCTTCTGCAGCTCCTTCTGGATGCTCAAGCCTGAAGCACTGTTCTCCAAGCAGACATTTCTGTAGCCAAGAGCATCGCCCACGCTCCCCAGCAGCATCGCGGCCTTGAATCTCTCCATCGTGGGAGGTGGCTGCTCTTGCCCCGCAGCTGCTGAGCACCAGCCTTTGTCCCCCTCCCTCGCTGCCTTCAGCCTGCCCTGCTGACATTTATACCGGTCATTGTCTCTCCGTCAGGAGTGTGCTCTAAGTGGCCAGTGCTCCTGTTCTGTCTCTGCAGGTGGCACCAATGAGAAGGCCTTTCTGGCCCCACCACGTGGGAAGTGCTGGCTTCCTCCCCGGGCGGACAGGACTAGCTCTTTGCAGGAGCCTGCTGACTCGGTGGGCACAGAGCAACTTCAGAGCATCCTCCCACAGAGCACGGGCTGTCTGCAGGTGGTGCCGTGCATGTGCGTGAGAGCCTGCGCCGGTGCACCCCCGCACATGCACCACCCCACGGCCCCCTTGCTCATCTGCTCCCCTCCCCTGAAAACCACCCATCTGTTCTCTCTAGTTTTGCCTTCTCTACAAACCTCATCTGTCTTGCTATATACTAAAAGAAATTTTCTATAAATTTCAAATACAGTATGTGGCCTTTTGTGTACAGCTTCCTTCACTCAGCATGTTGAGATTCATCCACTAGTTTTATCTTTTAGAAAACTTTTTATTATAAATCATGTTTACAATAGAAAACTTTAAAATGCAGCGTAAAGAGGCGTGTCTAGCTGCTGTGTGAGAGTCCAATAGGAGGCTCTCCAGACGACCAGGTTTTATCTTTTAGAAAACTTTTTATTATAAATCATGTTTACAATAGAAAACTTTAAAATGCGGCGTAAAGAGGCGTGTCTAGCTGCTGTGTGAGAGTCCAATAGGAGGCTCTCCAGACGACCAGACTTCAGACTGCAGAGTGCTCCAGCGCGTCAGCGCACGAAGCCCCACGCGGGAGTCTATGACATGCCGCCATGGAGCCGAATGCATTCAAATTACTCTTGGCAAGTCATGTAAAGAATATGTGAAAACACGAGGCTGAGGGGAAGGTTGAATGTGTAAAACCAGGGATCCTGCCTTCTGGTCAGTCCACCTCCCTCCCCCAGCCTGGAGGGCAGGTCTGCAGAGTGGCAGGGGACCAGGGGATCTGAGCTTCTCCCTCCTGTGCCCCCGGGTCCTGGTTTCAATCAGACTCAGGAGAAGCAGGTGGGAGTTACACCTGAACTCAAGATATCATCTGATAAAAAAAAGTTCTTTCAGTGTATAGCAAGATGGTAAGATGCATTTAAGTAACCTACAGTGTCATACCAGCACTTGTTAAAACTGAGGTGCTGGAGCATTAGTCCGGCTAGCACCTTTCTGAGATTCTGAAACACAGTCCTTCAAGACCAGCATGTATGTAGGTTTCCTGTCCCAACAATTCAGACAACAGGAGCCAGAGATGAAGGACTGTTTTCCTCAGCCACCTGTCTTAGGTAGAACAGCACTGGCAGAAACATTTACTGCTGAAGGGAACATCACAGTCATGGCTAAATTTTCTCTGGCTGATTCTGAGACAGCGGAAACCTTTATCAAAGACGCTCGGGAACACCTCCCACAGGTTAGCCCATGCCAGCAAATACGAGCTCAGTGATTTATTCATTCAATAAATATTTACTGAGCCCCTACTTTGTACTAAGAACTGAGAATATAGCAACAAATACCAGAAAAAGGTTTATTCTTTCTGCCACAAAGTCTGAAATGTTTATACTACATTTAAACTTTTATTAAGCTAAAATAACACAATGACATATGTCATGAAGATAGAAAGAGGGGATCGTGTGTGTTACAGAAGTTCTCGGCAGGTACTCTACGAAGGGACAGGCAATATGTATTTCCTAACCTACTGTGCTTGGTTAATGAGTTGTTTTCACTATGTTTGCAGTCTGTATTAGTCCATCCTGGTATATAACTCCTTTCACCTCTTTTGCAAATTCTGTAGATTGTGAGAGCTATGCTTTCTCACTTGGAACAACCATATTTAGCATGTGATGTGATACTAAAAAGGGGAAAGAGATCAGTGAACCTCTCTATCCGGAATGTGACAATTTAAATGGAGTGGCAGGCGAGACACGATGTTTCCCGGTTGCTATCAGGAGGCTTTTCTGTCATCCTGTGACAAAGACCAGGCTGCTGGCCTCTAGTTTAAAACAAAACTCTGCTGGAATCACACGCTACGTGGGCCACCACTGTGCAAACTGTAGTGGTGTATTAAAAACTATAAAGTGATTTTCAGATGAACACCTAGAGAAATGAGAACAAAAATAGATCTCATAAACCTAGACATTGGATAATTCAAAAAATATAAATCTTGAATTCCTTGTACCAAGTTTAAAAAAACATTAGACTCTGACAAGATCATCTTCCTTAGGGCACATTTTTAACAGCTCTGACTTGTATAAAAATGTGACATTCTACTGAGGACACAATACTGTTTTTTAAGTGTAATTACAATATAACTTAGCAGGAGTTCTGATAATTGCTGGTGTACACCTTACATCATGAATTAAATGGCATGCTCTGCAATCCTACAAACAGGCTTGATGTTACTTTTTTGTAAATACAAAAACCATGCAGAAATCTCCTAAAGCAACAGCTGTGATGGCAAGTCTCCAAACACTCCAAAGCTGTTATCTTCTGAGGAACTTCTTATGATGTCCCAAATCAGCCACGCTCATCGTTATCCAGAATAAGATGGTTATTCCAGTTTCGTGACGAGGCAAGGCTGTCCTCTGAAATCAGCAACAAACGTGCACAGCAGCAGACCAAAACGTCCCCCTGCAGGACGCAATTCATTTTGCACTCTCAATCCATCTTAATTTTCTGCCTGGAAAGAGCCATGTTTCCCCCTGTGACTGCTGGCCGCGCATATTCTACAAAGTCGTCTATGAGAACAGGCCACGCTCCTGAAGGAAGCAAGCACAGGGTTAATGGAGTCAGTGCCAGGGCAACGTTTCCACATTGTACGCATTTCTTTTCACAACCCAGTGTTATATTTCAAGAACTAAAACCATTTCAAGTTTATACAGCTCAGGTTTTGCTCAACGAACTGGCTGAAGCAAGGCCTGAGCCAGCAAATGCTTGCTGCATGTTGACAGGCGCCTCTGTAAGGACGGCCGTGGCATCAGCCGCTGCGTGTGCCCACCGCAGGCTTCAGCCAGTGCGGTGCTTGGGGCGGTCAGGACAAGCTTACCAGGGATGGAAAGAGATGGATGCCTGTCTCCTGAGGCAGGAACAAGGAGCCACTTTCCTCCAGCGTCGCTGCATGCCTGCTGCCAGGGCGCTGCTGCCCTGCTCCCGCCTACACCACTTAGGCCCAGACCTGCCCGACCCAAGCACCCCTGAGCTCATCTGCCAGCCAAGCACTTACGGCCTCATCTCACCAAGCGCAGCCGGTGCTCCGGGAAGCTGAGCTCCCTCTCATTCGACAGCATTTATTACATGCCTATTGTGGGCTATCTACCGTGCTACGTGTTCAGGACACAAAGAGAGACGAGCAAAAAAGCAGCAGGGAAGACAGACGCGTGCACGGCTGCTCACAAGCGAGGTGGGAGCACCGCAGCTGAAGACCCAGGCTTTCTAGAACACAAGAGTGAGGACCAGCATGTCCCAAAGGATGCAGCTGCCTGCTCAGCTGGAAGCAGGGCGGGTGGCAGTCTGGAGCTGAGACCTTCCGCCCAGATGCGGTTCCTTTCCTAAAGTGGCAGAGAGCCTGGTGCAGAGAAGGCACCCACACACCCTCTGACTTACTGTCCTGAAATAATTGGGAATGGGGGCGACTACAATACGTATAAATATATTTGCACAACAAATAGTTGGAATCTCCAAATGAGCTTAAGTAGCACAATGGAATAACTGACTTAAGGCATTGAATGGGATTCCAAATACCCATCCAGTTCTAAAGTTCTGCCATGGGAGTCTCTGCACGTCCAATTTTAAAATGCTTTAGTTTAGAGGACTATCTTCTCAATTTAAAGAAAACAGGAGGCACTATTTTTCTTTTGTGTGACTCATGACAGAGAGGCAGGCACTGTTATCATCACCCCCACTCCAGTGATGGAATGGGCCCAGGAGTCAGCGAGGGCCCATCTAACTCAGTGTCTGTGGCCGTCGCGACTGTCCTGTGCTGTGACCCTGGTGTCTATGTCTGTCGTCACTCTAGAGGCAGGAAAAGCTAATGTTCAGTGCAGCCTCTGTTAGCATTTCTGGCAATCATCTGAAGCACTACAACTCCTAGTACCTTCCTCGTCGTAGTTGGACATGTCATCTGCAATCATGTTTCCAAAATCTAGTAGAAGGTTCCAAGTGTCCCTTGGAATCGATCTTTTGTGATGCTCCTATAACAATAAATAGGAGGAAAAAACCCCACCAGATTTCAGACACAGAGCTTAACTCAGGAATTCTAGTGGCTTAGTGATCTTCAATGAATGAGTGATCCTTATTAATGTGATGAGGAATAAGTACAATAACAAAATTGCTAAAAGTTAAAAGTAATAATAGTGCTTTGTATAAATGTTAAGATGTACAAACAATGTCAATGTCCAAATACAGAAAACAAACTTAAATAAAGCAAAACATTTTAAATATTAAAATTATAAACTCCTGTCTCAATCAAACAGAAGGGCAACATTTATTATCTCTTTACCTAACACTCCCCTCCCCCACAAAAAATTCAGGAACAACAAAGGACAGCAGCAAGTCATGCTTCTGTTTCAGTTCTGTACACTTGTTTTTCTGCAAGGCAGTTCTTGCAGTGGGATGGGACAATTCTCTAGAAATATCTCTGTTTTGCAGTATTCCAGATATACCAAAACCACGGCGGTGGTGTGAAGCCTCTGCACTTGCATCCAGGTTCTGTACACTTGTTTTTCTGCAAGGCAGTTCTTGCAGTGGGATGGGACAATTCTCTAGAAATATCTCTGTTATGCAGTATTCCAGATATACCAAAACCACGGCGGTGGTGTGAAGCCTCTGCACTTGCATCCAGCTGCTGAGGGAGGCCGCTGCAGGTTCAGGGCCTGCCCTGGCGTTCCGCTCTCAGCTTGCTCTTTCCTTTTGTCTTCTGCAGAGGAACTCCTTCCCCAGAATTCAGCACGTACCATTCTCATGCCTGTCTTCGTGCATTAATCACACACATACATGTTCACAAACAGCTTATAGCCTCGGGCTGCATTTCAAAGTGCTAACTGCTGCCACACTGTAAGCAGCTGCCTGCAGTCTGTTTTTCCACTCAATGCCACACTTAAAATGCATGCAGGCTGACACATGCAGATCTAAGTCCACCCATCTTTGCTGCTCCTCAGCTTGCTCTATGGCATCCACATTCTGACTTCTCTTCTGTCCTCTCACCAACAGGCATGTGGCTGTATCCAGTGCTGTGCTGTTACACCAGTGCCATGAGCATCTTTGTTCCTGTCTCTATGCCTGTGGGCATGAGGTTCTCTGGGGAATGTCTGCAATTTAGATTTGCCCCCAGGTAAAGAGTAAGGGGTCAGGGCAGTGTTACTGACCTCCAAAAGTTTTAGAAGCAATGTAGCACGACTCATACAACACACAGCTTAAACGAGGCCTCCCCATGACAGGTCTGCAGGATTTAATGCCAGCACCTTCACAGACAGCTCTGGCCCTCCACACACGACACTCTGTGAGTACTATCACTAGATAACAAAATGAGCCGCGTGGAAGTCACTCGCCCAGGCCACAATTAAATTGAATCGAGGAGGTGCTGGTCCTTGGCCAGGCCACGGGCTGTGTCATGCAAAGGACCACTCCCTTTCATGTCCACGGACAGAATGAGGAGATCGGGCACTCTGCCGTCACCATGACAGTCCCTCACTCCCACCGACCAGAGACACACCCACGGCCTCACTGTGACAGCACCAGCACAGTGTCTTTCCTAAAGGAGCCTGCAGAGGCCTCCTTCCCTTCTGAGTATCACAGAACACATTTTAAAACGTGTCAGACAATGAACACACACGGTGGCCAGGATGCATCTGGACAGTGGGACACATTCACAGCTCTGGGGCCCATGTCGATGTACAGAGAGGGGTGTTTCTTGCACTTTCTTTTAGGATCTGAAGTTTCTCAGCAGAAGTACAGAATTACTTAGTTTAGGGTCCTCAGAGGAGACAGCAGATGGAGGGTTGCTGAGATTTGCAGTGGATCTTCTAGAAACCCAGTCTGGAAGGTGTTTCGTGTGGCTGCTGCCACCTTCCTCAAGGTGGCAGAGCAGTGCGGCAACTGGTCTGGTACCTGAGGATCCTTGTGCAGAACCTCTGTCCACCCAAAACTTCTGCACATAAGACTCTAGTTAGACAGTTCTGCGCAGCCGCACCCCTGCTGGCTTCCCTTCACGCTGTGCACACACGGGAGAAGCAGGACACTTACCAGTAAGAATGTGTTCCAGAGATCTAGAAACTTAAACCTGCCCGATAATACTAGCTTCCAATATGCAACAGCCATTTCTAAATCTGGCAAAGAGAGAAAGAGCAGTTAATAAATCCCAATCTCTTTTTCTACTGCACAAAAAAATGACCACTCTTAACACTGACTTTTACTTGATCCCTAAAACCTGGCAATCTTACCCAAGAGTCACATGAGGCCTAATCTCCACAGAAGCACTCCTGTTAAGTACAATCTAATTTCATAAACATGGGGAAACTTCTTTATGAAAGGGTTTGTGTATTAAGTTATTCATGCAAGCAATCATTGCCTAATTAATCTGTTTTGGAGACTCGCGTTTTCATATACACTGGGCCTTCCATAAATCTGACCTGATCTGGATACTATTAATGCATACCATTTATTTTTAAAAACAGGACACTCCCCTTTCTAAATGATGAACTGTGAGCTAAACACCTTGTTTAGAAAGCACACTATCCCCCAAATAGGCCTGCCTGGTCATCACACGAACTAAAGCAGAATCTGACTCATGAGTACATTATACAGGCGCTGCGAGGCCTATGAACTCCTCATTGCGTAGTCCAGACGCACCAGCACATGACAGGAAAAGCACTGCCACTGATAGCAGGACATTTAAAAATCTAGACAGCACCATCAGTCAAAGCCCATGTCCTCATTTTTCCCCTGACTGGAAGGTAGTGGTTATTTCATGACTTCTATACAAATCCGTGCTGCAGGGCTCGATCTTAAGACGACGTCTCATGGCCCATGAACCCTGAGTGTATGGCTGTGTTAGAACAGCATCTCCAATCTATACTTTTTGGAATACTGATTTAGCCTCCTTCACTGGAAGTTTAACAACTGCTCCTTGTTATATGCATGATGTAGTGACACAGGAAGCGTCTGCCTCCTCAAGCTGGCCACCGTTAGTCACACTGCACCGTACTCACCAGTTTTAGGAAATAAAAAGTTACATTAAATAATTTCCTAATTACACATTTATGTGTGTGTGTCAGACAAACTAAAGTGAAAAGGAGATTAACAAATATATTAACGTAATAGGGTAGTTTAAATGCAAAATACCCAATTAAACACTTTTCAAAAGATTTTCTTCTAAACCTGGTTTAATCCCAGTAGGACAAAAATTATTCAACCTGGAGCTCTAACTTGAGATTTCCAGGGTCAGTCACTATTAAAAACAGATAATCAAGAGATGTCTAAGTAGTGATCACCTTTAAATAAAATCCTGTATTCCCTGTGTTAAGGGTTCGATACAGCCTTTATCAGTCTTACGCACTCTCGCGTCTTAATCAGAAAGAAAGTTCCAGTAACTGACACATGGAACAACTCTCTACACCTTACCTATGAGACCCACAGTACAATTCTAAGATGATTAGTCTTGTTCTGCTTATAAGTCTATGTCCTTATCACTTAGAAGAACATTAATTGAAATCTATATTCGACTCATTTTAATGATGTAAAGCTCACACTGAGAAATGGGGTTGAACCTGGGGAGGAAAGAAGAGTAAGTTTTATGGCATACATTTAATCTAGCTAATTTTGGATTAGTTTTGGTCCTAGAAACCTTTCTTACAAAGCACCTGATCTGCATTTCTGTAAATCACACAACTAAAAGTAAAGGTACAAATTTTCAATATTTAATATTATCTATGTAAAAATGTTTAATATTGTCCTAAGGACGTAGCCATTTGCAAAACAACAACAGCAGCAAGTCCAAGTGGCACTCCTGACGTCGGGAGCAGTCACTCCTGCAGGGCTATGTCTTTATAGCAGCTGTTTTCCTTCTCTCCTAAGAAAATGTTAGAAGAAGGTATTATTATCTAAACTTCATGCCTGTGACGCTCCATTTAGGATTAGATAATGAAGATGTGTCCTCTGTCAGAAAAGAATCTCAGGGCAGATGCAGAAATTAACTAATTTTCATGAAACTTTACTTCCTCAAAAATCAAGATTCTCAAAGCCAATTGATTCCAGACTCTAGCCAGTATAAAACTATGTTGAGTTTCTTACATTAAAACAAAGAGTCAAGTAACTTTAATTATCCTCTTTATTAGGTTGACCATATGTTGAGTACAGGGTAAAGAATAATCTTTCAGGAAAGAAACAGAGTACGCACAATCTCAACACACACACACATCTGAAGGACATAGGACTGATCTCTCTCTCAATCCACTTTCCCTGCTGTCCGTGCTGTTTCTAGGAACTACTGGAGCCCTGCACCGATCTCTTCAATTTGATTTTATCCTTCAGGAGACAGACGACGTGATAAATATACTTTGGAAATGATGAATCGAATGCCCTGTTTTTGGTTTATGGTCATGAAATTATTCTTCTTGCTTTATTTCCTTTTTTAGGAAGCCCTCAAATAACTTCCTTAAATAGTGTGTAGTCTATTTGAAATGTTCATACAATCTAATGATTTTCCTGAAGAGGCTATTATCTTCTTCAATATAATTTCATATTCTCTCAATTTTCTCATGAAGCAAAGAAACAAAAGCAGTAACTCTTCTAATTCTCTAGTGAATAATTTTTTTTTCCTTTTTGTCTTTTTTCGTGACCGGCAACAGATTGCAACCCTCAGTGTCGCGCCTGTACCGGACCGGGACCGGCAACGGGATTGCAACCCTCGGTGTCACGCCCGCACCTCGCTCAGCCAGTGAGCGGCCGGTCTGTATGTGGGATCCGAACCCTCAGCGGGAGTGCCGCCGCGCTCTCAAGCGGCGCACTGTAGCAGTGCGCCACCGGGCCGGCCCCTCTAGTGAATGATTTTGATAAAACATTTTATTTAGGCATCTACAGAAATAAAGTGAGTAAGAAGATAATCTTTTGTTCTCAGTAAAGGAACTGAAGGATAAACTATAAATTTGTAGCTTTTGTCGGCCTATTCTGCTGCCTGATGCTTAAGGAAATCTATAAAACAGAGGCTAAACATATTAGGCCCCATCTCAAAAATGTTTCAAAACACTCCTTACCCTTATATTAAACTTCTTTGAAATATTCATGGAGAAAGAAAATAAATTTTGTAACTTTAAACTGGGTGACTAATTCAGACTCTAATTTACAACCTCTTAGAAATTATTATGTAATTAAAAATGTACGTTGAATGTGATAACATTGGGTTTGCAGGGCTGCACAGCCTCCACCTAACCAGCCCTTCTGGCCTGAGGCCACCACCCTATAAGGAAGCCCAGGTGAGAGCCCACAGTGGTGGAACCCACACACCAGACTCAAGATGCAGCCCTTCCTGGGCGTTTCAGCCCAGCCCAGCCACCTGCTGAAATGCTCCTGAGTGAACTGAGCTGACATCATGCGGAGCAGAAGGCTGCCCAGCTGAGTCCCACATGGGTCCTGGACCTAAAGGATCATGAGACATAAAAGCGATTGTCATTGGAAGCCCTAAGTTCTGAGGTGGTCTGTTATGTGGTAGTTACTAACCCACGAGTGGGTCTGGAGCGAGGCCTGAGAATCTGTCTCCAGCAAGCTCCCAGTGATGCTGATGCTGACACTGTGGTCTGCACACCGCCCTTCCCAAGGACCTGGAAAATTCCTTAATACTTTTTCATATCTGGCAAGTTAACTTGGCATTATAAGACAAAAATTCTTAAAAACAAGACATGCACATGAATGTTAAATGAATTTAACCCTCACTTTTCAACATTTTTTTTCATTTCAATACTAAAAGGAAGGAATCTCCTAAACTGCAAAATGTCAATAAATACAAATGACTATTTCTAACAGAAGCTTAATTATCCTAAGATTATACTGAAGACATCAGAGTAACAGAGTGAAATAGACAAACACTGTTTTTATTACTCCCTGAGATCTCAAGATGTCCTTTCCTGACAATCAGTGATTTACAGTTCAGACTGGACTAGCTGCCACTCTGAAAAATGAAGCTAGATAAGCCTCTAAAAGTAAAGTATTACCTAAATTTTTCTCTGAAGAGTAATAATAATTACACTCAAACCTGAATTATCCACATTTTAGAAAAGCATGCACAGAAGTACCATCCAGGTGAGCAGGACAGGAAAATGGGGGTGCAGACGGAGGGGGGGAAACCGAGAAACGGGGACGTTAAAAAAACAAACAAAAAAACCTGATGGTAGAAGATGAAATAACATCCACAGCAGAAACAGCCAGGTGTTCTCAACACGGCCCGTCCTCCGCTCTGAGGACCAAGAACGCCCAGTGAGCCTACCCCACGCTACTCCAGTGCGTTACTCTACGTGCTGGTTAGTTTCTAGAAAAGACCGGTGATGTTTTCTTGAGAATACTGATGATAGTTACTGTGGAATCAGACCGCAAACTGAGAGAGGTTTTAACTTTAATGACGATTCTGCCTCAGCTTCTTAGAAGGGAATAGAGTGGAATAGAAAAGATAAAAAACAAGTTTTAGCCCCCAAAATAGCAGCATTATTCACAATAGCCAAGATGTGGAAACAACCTGAATGTCCACTGACAGATGAACCCACTGACAGATGAACGGATAAACAAAATGCGGTGCATACAATGGAATATTATTCGCCTTAAAAAGGAAGGGAATTCTGACACGTTCATGCTACAACACGCATGAACCCTGAGGACATTATGCTGAGTGAAAGAAGCCAGATACAAAAGGACGGATACTGTTAAGACTCCACTTATGTGGTCCCTAAAGTCATCAAGTTCACAGAGTCAGAATAGGAAAGGTGGGTGCCAAGTGCTGGGGAGGGGGTGGGGAGTTAGTGTCTAATGGGGGCAGAGCTCCAGACTGGGAAGATGGAAAAGCTCTGGAGATGGGTACTAGTGATGGTCATACAACATTGTGAGCATCCTTAATGCTACTCAGTTGTACACTGAAAAATAGTTAAAATGGTTAAAAAAAAAAAAATCAGTCTTAGGGAAAAAACTCCAGGGACTCCTGACCTGACTGGTTGGAAACGAGCAGTTCTGTGCTCAGCCACTCCCTTCTCTCCTTCAGACGAGCAATCTACGAGAACTCAACCCTGCAGCACACTAGACAGGGTCCTGGAAAGGTGGCAGCACAGGCAGCATAGTTTTAAAACTT